GGTTCGATTCCGGTCAAGGGCATGTACCTTGGTTGTGGGCACATCCCCAGTGGGAGATGTGCAGGAGGCAGCTGATCAATGTTTCTCTCTCATCGATGTTTCTAACTCTCTATCTCTCTCCCTTCCTCTCTGTAAAAAATCAATAAAATATATTAACAAAAGAAAAGAAATGTATAAGCATGTATTAGCTTGCAAGACCCAGAAGGGACTAGTCCTGAAAAGTTCTTAGGAGAGAAGGAAAGCATAGAGTCTAGGGTGGATTCGGAGGACCATGAAGCAAACAGCGTTGAGTTAAAGTGTTGAGGTTGAAAGGGAAAACAGAATCAGATCAGACGGTGGTAGGGGAACCATGCCGCATTTCAGTTTCCTGCTCAGTCTGAATTTGCTATGGAACTGTTTTAGTTTGTCCCTAAATTTTATTGAGAGAAATGTTAAATTTTCTCTTTTATTTTATGACTCTGAAAGTTAAATAGCAATCTGCCAGCTGCCCTTCTTCTTGGTTCCTTTAGAAGACAACTACTGAAGATAATTCCTGAGACCACCCATATCGCCTGTCAAGGTCATGATCCTAATAAGATTTATAGTTGCCATTACTGGACTTTCTGAGCCAGGGTCTGTGCTGTGAGCTTTACTCAACAAAACTCGCTGAGCACCTACCACCTAGCAGGCATTGTTGCTTTCAACTAATAATTGTAGAGTAAGTGCAGAATAAAATAGGATAAAACACTCTCTTGAAGTTGATGCCCTTGCACTTCTGGGGAGTTGTTAGTGTTCCCTGGAAATTAAAGGATTTGCTTCCCACACCCCCCACACCCGTTCTCTCTAAAGCCATCATGGTTTTGTGCTCTTGCATTTTTCGTTTGTGGGTCAGACTAATCATTCCTTTCCTTTGGCCTAGTTGGACTGAGACTGCAAGTGTAAGGGAAGCACATTGGAAACCTATTACCATGTACCCGTGTGTGGTCAAAACAGCTGGAGTTTTAATTGCCCTGTTAAAGCCGGGAAAGAAAGTGGGTTTGGGACCAGCGCTGTGGGTGTCCTGTAGCTCAGCGTGGAGAGCAGGAGCCTGCCAGGCTCTGGGAAAGTTGCTGTGGTTCCCTCCCTGCTTTCAGGTTGGGGCTGGGCAGGTGCCGTGCGAAGGTCTACCAGCCACACCTTCCCCTGCACGGGTTCTTGGCTTGGTTACTTTTGAATCCAATCGATATTGGCCATATGTCAGTCTTGAAGCCAAGTAATACCATATAGGTTTTAGTGTGTTTCTGTGCCTGCAGCCTCCCGGCCTACCCCACCACTGTGACCGACTCTCAGCCCCTCTGAAGGCTCTTGAGCGGACCAGGCTCAGGCCATCAGACCACTAGGGAAAGCTGGCTTCTTCCTGGGTCATCAGATTTCTTCCGTGGGCCTGGGAACAGCTTTCTGTCCTTCCTGCCTCACTAAGGAACTAGAAAGATGAGTGGCAGCTCACTTTGGTTGGCATTTTGGATTTTCTGAAGCACCTTCACTGACATTGAATGTGCGTGACTCAGATTCAGGCTGAATATTGAAAGTCCGCTGATGCCACAGCGAGCAGTAAGACAGGCTGGACGGCCAGCGGGGGAGGGCACCAGCGGGGTTTGAGTGACTGGAGATACAGCTGGGCTGCAGCTAGTCCTGTATTTGCTCCCTGCCCTTCTGTCTGAAGCAGGCACACAGTCCTTGGAGATTTCTACAGGTTGTGAGATGTTAGTGGACTGAAAAGCAAGGAGGAGAAATTCATGTCCAGAAGTGTTGGAAAAACTCAGCGGTCACTCACCTTCTGGTATTTATGCCCACATCAGGGGCACCAGCAGCCTGGCTTTGTGCTTCCTCTTTCCTCCATTCTTCCCGGCTGTCTTTTCGTGTCCTGCGAGTTCTGGTCCTCTGCTCCGCACGCCCTCAGTCCTGGCTGTCGAGGCCCAAGCCTGTTTTCTCAGACGCAGGCTGTGGCTATACTTCCTTCTACATCTTTGGGGGTAAAAAGCAGGAGTGTGCCAATGGGAAGGTAGGGCCTGCGGTTCAATAGCCATCTGAAGGAGGATTTACTGTCGCTCCACGGGGCTGTCTGGCTATTCAAGTGACTCCTTTCTTTCTTTCTTCCTAGAACAGTGTTCCGGCCTTGTGTGACATGGAAAGAACTTTATTTATTTATTTATTATTTACTTATTTATTGCTAGAGGTCTGGTGCACGAAATTCATGCAAGGAGCTTAGTCCCCGCCGCCTCTGCCTCAGCCCCCACCACCACAGCTTCTTCCGGAAGGACTTCCAGTCTAATTAGCATATTACACTTTTATTATTACAGATTATTATTTTTAATCTTTATTGTTGAAAGTATTACATATGTTCCCTTTACCCCCCATTGACCTCTCCCAGCCTGCCCCCGCCCCCAGCCCAGGCCTTCATCACTCTACTGTCTGTGTTCCTGGATTATGAACATATGCATATTCATATATTCATAACAAGTTCGTTGGTTGATCTCTTCCCACCCCGCACCCTCTCCTGCCTTCCCTCTGAGGTTTGACAGTCTGTTTGGTGCTTCTGTGTCTTCAGATCTATTTTTGTTCATCAACTTATGTTCATTAGTTCCCCAGGAGTCGCGCATATGTGGAATCTAATGAGCAGCTCCTCCTTTCCAATGAGAGACTGACCTGGGCATTTTCCTCTGACGTGCCTAGAAATTTTTCTCACCACCTCATCTTCCATGGTTCTTACATCAGATGTTTCTGGGGATAACAGTTGGTTCATTGTTTTGCTGTTTGTTTGGGGTTTTTTTGTTTGCCTAGGGTTTCTGATAACAAATACATCCAAAAAATCAATCTCAACTCCAGAATGCTCTTCTCACCTCCCTTCTCCCTTCCCCCTTCTCCCCTGCCATTCCCTCCGCTTTCCCCTGTTTGCCTTCCTCCCTCCCTCTTTTCTCTTCCTCCTCTTCCACTCTCTCCCTCCTTCCCCTCCTTAACATTTCTGTTCTTTATCATGATTCCACTGGAGCCATTTGGCAAGGACTCTTTGACCTGTCGGTGAAATTATACAGTCTTAACTTTTATGCTGTAGTTAATGTGTTTCCAACATGTTAACGATGGTGGCAGTGGTGACGGATCCATTGTCATCCAGGGACACATTCCTTTTTTGTTTTTTAATATATTGTTGTTGATTTCAGAGAGGAAGGGAGAAGGGGAGAGAGAGAGATCGAAATATCAGTGATGAAAGAGAATCATTGATCGGCTGCCTCCTGCATGCCCCACACTGGGGATCGAGCCCACAACCGGGCATGTGCCCTTGACTGGCATTGAACCGGGACCCTTCAGTCCCCAGGCCGACACTCTATCCACTGAGCCAAACCAGCTAGGGCAAGGGGCACATTCTTAAACGAAACCTGAGGCTCTTCCACCACCAGTCATTTCTTACTTAGTGGGAGGACACACATGCTATACGCCACATGTTTGTGGACAGAAAAGGTAAATGAGAATCATTGTTTTACAGCCATTAGCCTTGATTTCCCATCTATCCGTGGCACATATAAGCGTAACATGGGCTGTTTTCTTTTACTTGTTTCTAGCCCATAGTACCAATATCGAGAATAACCACAGTGGGTTTGTGGTGTGGTTAGTTTGAAGTCTGTCCCCATCACTACTTTGATAGTATAGCTAAGGACCATGGATTTAATAGAGAATACTAATTATTGTGTCCCAGCATCCTTTTTGCTATTTTAACATGGCGTTTATTCTCATGCTTCCGTCTTCATTTGTCTTTATCTTTCTTTTTAAAGCGTCTTGCTCGAACTGGGATCATAGTGACGACCAGCGAGGCTGTTCTGCTACAGCTGGTGGCGGATAAAGACCATCCGAAGTTCAAGGAAGTCCAGAACCTGATTAAGGCGAGTGCCCCAGAGTCGGGTCTGCTCTCCAAAGTCTAGGACATTTGAAGGACTGGTGTGCCACTCACCATCAGGGGCAGGGCTGTCACCCGACAAGCTCTTGTCTCTACTAGAATTAAAATGTTAAGTCAAATAAGCCAATTACTTTTAT